CAGCAGTGACACATTAGCGTTTTCCAACCACAGCATCAGTACCCAGCTTGCACTGCTGCTCTGCTGTGTGATGTCAGTCCAAAACAAACATGTTTCAATCAGGGTTAATCATTCAGGGGAGCGCTGCGGCCCTCAGTGTGGTCTGCAGGCGGGATCACCGTATCCACACTGTCACAAGACTCTCAGGACCGCATCAGTCATGGAAACTGTTTGCAGCCACAAAGCATTCTGGGTGGTCAGGAGGCCTTAACGACAACCAGCGACTCGACTTAAAGGTCAAATCTGCAGTTTTTCAGCCTTTACATGGTGGTAGAAAGTCACAAACGTGGCTTTTCTACATGATTCATAAAATTTGGGGCAAAGAAAATCTTGGTGGACTGAAGTCATACCTACTCTTTTTTTAGTTTGTGGTGGGAAAAAAAACTGCAAGTTGCAAATAGAGAATTTAGAGTTTAAATCTTAAAAAAAAAAAAAAAAATCATTAAAACTGAATATTAAAACAGTTGCATTTAATAGGTGACGCCTAATCAACTAATCAACTATTCACTGCAGCTCTAGTGTCAGTTCTACTCTACTGTTGGTAGCCGACTTTCAGTAAATGTTAAGTAAACGTTAAATAAATCAGACCTAGCATTAAGTTGGGACAGTCCAGGGGTGTGAAACACAGGTGTGCTCACAGGTATACAAAATTAATGGACCTATCCTGGACACTACACAACACCACTATTTTTTAAAGATATGTCATTTTGTGCTACTAAATACATCAAACAGAAGAATAAGGAGCACCTCCTCTGTTATGAGACAGCACAAAAACCTGATAATCAATTAATTTTCTTTGGTTAATATCTCAATTAATTAAATTAATATTTTGTGATTCTAATATCCTGAAGCGCAACAACATGACAGACTCGTTTTCAGAACAAAAGAGTAAAAATACTCAGTTTATAACTGCATTTCCAAGGAAAAGCAGACAGCATTTCAGATGTTTTCCTGAGTAAACAATTTAAGCAAAAAAGCAAGTTGGTAAAAACCAACATCAGTTAAATGGAGGAGAAGCAGAGCATCACACAGCAGGCTGAACTCAGTGGAATAATCAGTATAAACCCACTCTGGTGCTGTCTGGTGGTGGTGGTAAGAATTACACACCTTTATTTGTGATCGTTTTTCTACCCAGGACTTTGTCACTTCTACGACTTTTCCACCAGAAACTTTCTGCTTTTACAACCAGTTGCAGTACACAACAGGTTCTAGAAAATCAGTCCACATTTCCACCAATTTCTACCGCAGATAGTAGGGCTGGGCCATATCATACCGTGCACGGAAATACTGGTGTAATGTTAAGGGATGATATGAAATTAAAAAATATAAAATTTGAGTGAAACGCGCATGCGCAGTGCCGTTGTTTTCATCCAGTCTAATGCACATGGAGCGAGAAGCATGGCGGTGACCGAGGAGGAGGGCGAATGCAGTACATCAACCGACACAGTAGGGCTGGACCCGAATATGGAAATATTCTGTCGTTGTGGTGGTATCTGGATAGCAATTTTGAGATCTGAATATTCGCCTGCCAAATTTTCTCATTCATATCATGATAAATATTTTTATCACCCTGCCCTAGCAAATAGATCCCAGTAAACGTACAGTTTTCCTGCAGCTTTTAGCTTCTTATTATACATATTTACTTCAATCCAACAGAGTTCCACAAGCAGACAGAAAGTACATGCAATTCTGTATTTATGAACACCTTTTATGTTGTTTCAAGTATTTATTTTTTGTCTGAGAGTAGGAATGTCACCGCTGATTAGTACTATTGCGATTAATCTGTTCATCATTTTATCAGAATGGTTCTAAACTAGGTTCAGAAGCCAGAAATAAAGCAGTCTTGTGTTGCTGGAAATGCTTTAAGAGATTTTCGGGGGAAATACAATCTTTTTCTCGGTTATCTAGTTCATGGATTAATCAAGTCTACTAATGGCACAATTACTGGAAGCATGCAATGGCGCCACACTAGTGGCAGCTTGTTGTAGCAGCTCCGTTGTACCCGTCATGTTTGTCGTCGTTTTCTTTGTTTCATGCACAGATCCCTGTCTCACTTGGAGAGGCCTGGAAGCACTGTGATAATCATGTTCTATGTCTTCTCCAGTGCTTTCAACACCATCCAGACAGAACTCCTGAGTGGCAAACTGGAGCACACTGGAGTGTGCCACCAGCTGACATCATGGTTTCTTGACTTCCTTACCAACAGGCCACAGTTTGTGAGGACAAAAGGCTGAGTGTCTAAGACGGTGATCTGCAGCACAGGGGCGCCTCAAGGGACTGTTCTGGCTCCTCTCCTGTTCACCATTTACACAGCCGACTTCACCCACTACACAGCAAACTGCCACCTGCAAAAGTTCTCGGATGACTCTGCCATCGTCGGTCTCATCAACGACAGAGACGAGAAGGAGTACCGAGTACTAAACCAGAACTTTGTGGCCTGGTGCGAGCTAAACTGCCTCCGGACTAATGCCGGAAAAACCAAAGAGCTGGTATTTGACCTTCGCCGGCACAAAATCTCCCCTCCCTCTCCAGTGAACATCCAGGGCATGGACATTGAGATAGCAGACTCTGACAAGTACCTGGGTGTTCACCTGAGTAAAAACCTGACTGGACTGTAAATACTCGGGCTCTGTACAAAAAAGGCCAGAGCAGACTCCACCTGCTGCGCAGACTAAGGTCCTTCAGTGTGCAGGAAGGCCTCCTAAGGACTTTTTATGACTCAGTGGTGACATCAGCCATTTTTTATGGTGTGGCCTGCTGGAGCAGCAGCATCAGCGCTGCTGAGAGGAAGAGCCTGAACAAACTAGTGAAGAAGGCCAGCTCTGTCCTGGGCTGCAGTCTCGATTCTGTGGAGGTGGTAGGTGACAGGAGGAGGATGACAAAGCTGTCATCATACGTAGACAATACCTCCCATCCTCTACACGGGACTGGAAGCCCTGGAAAGTTCTATCAGTGCCAGGCTTCTTCATCCACACTGTTCCAAAGAGAGGTACCACAGGTCCTTTCTCCCCTCT